CACGGAGGCCTGTTAAGCGAAAGCTTCTATTCAGTCCACAACCATTTGAACACATGAACTAGGTGCTTAGAGGCTCGCTTATCACAAGTTTCTTGCAACGATTAAGTAGATAAAACAAAGTAGCATTAGATTAAAAAAATTATTCATGAACTTTCATTAAGAATCGAATATCAAACAAAGGTTTAAACCAAGTTCCCGTTTAAAAGTTGTATTGGTAATGTTAAGCTGCAGTTTTTGTTGTTTTTTTCCAAACGAAAGAGTAAAAGAAGTCACAAAATACTGTAAGTGGTTGTGAGACTAAAATGGAAGTCCAGCATCCTTTTTATCATCTGCTGTTCGTTGGATCTCCCGTAAACAGTTCCATAGGGCCATAGTTCCAAGGGCGAAACAGTTTTTAATGTCTGTGAAGGCTCACTACTGTTGCATTCTAAAGAAAAATTATTGATGAATTTAGTCAGAAATGTGGAATATATAAATAACCAAATCACATGTTTTTAGCAAAGAATTTATGCAGTTGTGATTTACCTTGAGTTCATCAATATTAGATATGGTCAGCTACTATTATTTGCGCAAAAAAATAACATGGGCTTAGTACCGTATTGCAATGCTTTTATTATTTTGCTCCCATTTAAGTATTCCCATGCATCTGCGTCTGGTTTAACAGGAAGAAATACAAGCAGAGTAAGTGTCTGATAAACTAAAAGTCCCAGTTGTCAAAAAGATTCTTAACATTTGTCCACAGCCAGCTGCATTTAATTGATACACAGAACACTCTTCTAAGACTGTATACTGCTGTTTTGCGGGCAACTAAAAGCTCAGACGCTTAGCTAACTTGCTACCGATGTTATTGCTGGGGAAATTGTTTAATGACAGTGATCATGAAATATGGTCAGTGATAGATGTACAGTTTAGAAATAAACACCAAACATACTTATCGCTATCTTATAATGTATGACAGCAACAGCATCAAAGGCACGTGTTTTCCTATTTTTAACCAGACTGATCTGAATTCGTATACACATTGGAAACAGGCAACTCTACTTACTAAACTGATCTGTTTCGTTACAGGCTTCAAGCACTATACTTAAGTATATCATAATTCTTTCAACTAAACTGAATTATACGACAACCAAGAACACTAAACTAAGCAAGTGTCATAGTTATTGTTTCACTTGCGAAGACATGTTACTCAAAGTAGTTAAATGGACATAATTAAGCCGATAAAACCAAAACAGGAAATATAGACCAGTTGAACATACCTAAGAAAAAAAGGATACATATATACTGCTTTCATACTGAAGACAACAGGCAGTTGTTCATAGAAACATAGTTTACAGTACAACCAACCTTTCTTCAGTAAAATCATGCACTGACAGTCTATCTGGAAACAATCAACTATGTGAATAAACTCACTATGACTTGAAATATCACCCCAGCGTGCAATGGACATACAGTGTAACGCAGTCGGACGTGGCGAATAAAAATTAAAAACAGATCAAAATTAACTACATATTCTGGTTATTTAATTAAAAATACATTATGAAATGGCAAAATCTGTGGTTACTTGAACGAACAAACGACAGTGTGCGATACATTAAGTTTACATGGTTGCGTTGCGGATAAGATCACCCCTGTTTTTCTGTCGTTGTGAAACAAAGACATGCTGGGCATTGCTAGCTCCTGATCCGTTTATTGGGAAGATATCCATGTTTCAGATATTACTATCAGATGAGTGTTATTAGCATTACTGAGTTCACGCTACTCATCCATTTTATTCGACAAACTCGCGGCGTTCATGGATAAAAAGTCTATGCTTTCAATTTGAAGCACGTAAGATTCCCCACCCTCTTCATCCGTATGATTCTTATATGAATGAGCAGGTAACCTACCTAGACAGGGTTTTCCAAGTTAGTAGCTCCTGTTCTTTCCTCGTTTTTTTATGATCTAGAATTGGAATGGTAACCTGCAATTTGTTTTTTTGCATGATCCTGACATAATGTGGCCTATCGCGATGCATATGGATTCCAGTCGACAACTGGAGTCTGTTGGCATAAAATGCTTCGGGAGTTACAGTCGCCCCGTGGAAGGATGGAAAAGTTCTCTTCATTAGCCGGGTCTACAACCCTAGTTCTTCGTAGCTTGACTTAAGTCAAACCTGGATAAGGAAAACTAAGCGAATTATTTAACATATAAGTGATTTAAGTTTCTGAAAATGACGACTTGTTCCACGTAACATTACATTTCTTCTCCGCGTAGAATGTAAAAGTTTATACTAGCTGATAATACTCATTCAAATATCTGGAGGTGCAGTACAGTTTGTTTAAAAGCCTCATACAGACAAACAGGACGAAGCTCACGCGTTCCAAATTGAAGGCATAAACTGCTTATATATGAACGCCGCGAGTCTACTAAAAGAATTGAATAAATTACGTGAACTTAGCAATGGTAGCAATGATAGGAATATCTGAAACCTGGATATTTTCTCTGTTCTCGGACCAAGAGTTAGCATTACCTGGGATGTTCTTGTTTCGCAACGACAGAAAATCAGGAATTGGGGACGGAGTAGCCGTATACATACGTTCTTGCTTGGATGTGTACCAAGTTCATAACCTCGAGTTTAACAATCTTGAGGAATCCATATGGTGCTCTGTACTTCGAGGTGTCTAGTCGGAGTCATTTACAAGAAGCCAGCTGTCGACATCGGGTATCATAGTCGTATGCTGGAAGGACTATCCCTCACTACTCGTCTAAGTTTCACACACATCCTGCTTCTAGGGGACTTTAATCTCCCTCGCTCTCTCTAGGGATAATACGAAAACTTGAGGTCGGCAACTCGTTGGAGAAACAGTCAGACACCATCGCGCTTAGACTGTGTATTCACAAACGAAGAATTACTAGTAGACAACCTCTAAATCCTGGCTCCGCTGGAAAAAAGCGATCATGCCGTCATAGCCTTCAGTTTTGTCAGCAAAACTAAGCTAAGGTATCCCACCAATAACTTGCGTTGGAATTTTAAACGTTTGAATGTGCCAGCTCTACACGACTATATACAACAGGTGGTTTGGGATATTCACCCTCAACTCGATGTGGACGGTCATTGAGACTTCTTACTGCACACGCTCTTATGTGCTACAAACCATTCAGTTCCTCAAACGGTTCCCAAAAGCTGCAAGCCACCTACAATAATCAAGAGTCGTACCCTTCGCGGGCTAGGCCGCAAAAGGCACTGTTGGGTGGAATACAAACGTACTGACAACAACGGAGCGTACAGGCAATACAAACATATAAGGAACATATACACGAAGGCTATAAGAGAAGATAGGCTTCAGTACCAGACAAAGCTTATGGACAGAGTTGCCCCTAATCCGAAAAGCTTATTCCGTTATGCAGCCTCTTTTCGTCAAGCCATAACTGGAGTTTCCCAACTGCTAGGTCTTAATGGCCCGACCAACGACGACGGCGACGCCACTAAACTTTTGACCTTACAATACTCTCGGACATTTCAACCAACCAACATCAACTATACTGATGAAAGCTTCATCTGCAACTCCGAAGGTCTTTCCTAAATGAACCTGAGCTCTGACTTCGTGTTCCAGAAACTGCAGCACTTAAGAATAGACACTTCTCCTGGCCCAGATATTGTCCATGGATGGACAAGCATCCTCGATCACAAGGGAAAGATTGATATCATCTACTTGAATTTCTCAAAAGCTTTTGATAGGGTTAACCATTTATATCTTATCAATAAGCTTAAACGAATAGGTATCAGACCACCTCTAATCGATTGGCCTACTTCATACCTGAAAAATCAACACTTTAAGATTGGGGTTAATCTCACTTTATCTCAGGCTATGGAATGTCCTAGTGGGGCCCCCAGGGCTCAGTACTAGGACCTCTTCTATTCTTGATCTACACAGATGATCTTCTTCAACAGGTAACGTCAGAATTATTACTTTTTGCTGATGATGTTAAACTTTTGAGAGAGATACGCAATCAAGACCATATACAGGCACTTCAGGAGGATCTGACTGCACTCCAAAGTTGGGCAGATAATAATGGACTTACCTTTAACACTTCAAAGTGTAAAGTAGTTCATTTGCGACATGTCGCAGACTACAGTTATAACTTAGGAAACTCCTCTCTAGTAGTATCCCAAGTAGAAAAAGATTCCGTAGTCCTGGTGCCCCATGATTTAAAGTCTTACGCCAACTGTGACAAAAATGCCATCCGAGCAAACCTTGCACTGGTAACATTGAAGCGCATTTTTGGCCAGTTTGACGGAAGAAATTTCCATATAATCTTCAATAGTTTTATCCGTCCCCATTTAGAGTACGGAAACATAGTATCTCCTCCCTCACTCCAAAAGGATATGGACACCCTGGAGCGTATCCAACGGCGAGCCACGAAATCAGTTCGAGGACTCAAATTTAAACTTTACGAAGAGCGCCTTCATTCACTTGACCTTTACCCACTAGAGTACAGGCGTCTTAGAGGTGACCTGCTGATGGCTTATAGTATTCTTAACACTTCTGGACATCCTCTCAAACACCTACTTAAGCTTAGTTCCAACACTAACCTAAAGGGTAACACCCAGAAACTGGAGACACAACATAGCAAAACGAAATGTAGACATAACTTCTACTCAATAGGAGTTGTCAAATGCTGGAATTCGCTGCCGGTCGAGCTAGTCCAAGCGACTTCTCAGGAGTCCTTCAAGAGGCAATTTGACCTATTCATAAGGACCAAGGACAGCATCATATTATGATTTACCAATTTCTTCTTCCTCTTTTATTTTTAATATACTTGGGTTACTGCCTGAAGGATTTGGTGATCCCCTGCTACTAGACACGGAGGCCTGTTAAGCGAAAGCTTCTATTCCGTCCACAACCATTTGAACCGTTTGAATTCGTTGTTTAAACGCTTCGGTCACTGTGCCTCGTAAGTCGTATGCACAAAGGTGATTTCGCTATGTCTGTTGGATTTTAACTGATATGATATAAATGGAAAAATACGAAAATCTAGGGCTAGTTGGAGAAGGAAGTTATGGAATGGTTATCAAGTGTAAAAATAAAGAGTCTGGAAGGATTGTGGCGATTAAAAAATTTATTGACAGCGAAGATGATAAACATGTTAAAAAAATAGCACTTCGTGAAATAAGAATGTTAAAAGTAAATCGTTTTACGAATTAGTATTTTTAGCAACTTCGTCATGATAACTTGGTAAACCTTTTGGAAGTTTTTCGACGAAAGAAACGTCTATATCTTGTTTTTGAATTTGTGGATAATACTATATTAGATGACCTAGAAAAACACCCTAATGGAATTGACGAAATGCGCACAAAACGCACTTTATTTCAAGTCATTCGAGGTGTGGAATTTTGTCATCTACACAATGTAAGTTAACAGTATCACCTTATCAATTCAATGATGACAAACATCATAAGACTATTTTTTCAATGATCTTTTAGTGCTAAAAACTAAAAACACAATGTTTTAGCTGTAAAACTATCTTTAAAGCTAGGAGTTATGAGTGAAACATTTTGCTTGTGCTATTGGTACGGAACAAAATGTCCAATATATTAAGAAAAACATTATCGCAGTGCATTTGCTAATCAACGTTAAGAAGTCTTCAGACTTTTATTGCCTTTGCAATGAAATCTTTAACTTCATAACTATCCTAGACACAGTCGCGCCTGTAATTACCACCTCGACGTATTCTTAAATCTTTATTTCATTGCATCCCAAAAGTAACATTTTAGTATTAAGCTGATTTCGACAAACACTTTATCTATTATAGGTACATATTAACTAACGACTTTTTAAGCAACAGAAAATTCCTCTTAAAACCCTGTACTTTGAAATAACCGAGCACCTCGTACAATTTATACAGAATGTATTGAACATTAGAAATCCACCTGCTACGAAACGTAGAATATTGAAATAGTCCGTTAGAATTCGTAACAAAAAAGTGATTTCTATAATATGAGACAAAAACCTATGTATTTTTCATGTGGAGGAAAATCAGCATGCCCAGAGTTTATGACGTGAAGGCAATTGTGCAGCACTATTTTACATGCAACTCTTCTTAATCATATTTGCATCACTGAAAGATTCAGGTCAGTGGGAGACTTAGGAATAAAGAGGAAGGCTGACATAGCTTTAGATCTCCAACTGATTGTTATAAAATTGAAACTGAAGTTAAAGAAGCACTGGACAACTAGAAGAACAACATAACAAAGATTTAATACAACCTTCCTTGAAGATACTGACAAACTCAACAGATTCAAGATGGCTCTAAGCAACAAGTTCCAATTCCTACAAGACCTACTCGAAGTAAAAACTACTATAGCGAACATTCAGAAAAAGACCAAAAACGCGCTAACTTTAGCGCGCCGGTAGGCTTCGGGCGGCAAGAAGCAACGTAATAAGTAATGAATCTCTAAACAAATCCTGGGCAAGATTCAAAAAAGGACCAAGACAAAGGTATGAGCATCATTCGTAAATTCCAAAATATTATGAGAGGATTACGGATAATGAATCCAAAAACTCAGTTTTAGTGTGCGAAATTCATCTGTGAAGTCTTACAGAATTAAAGTTATGTTTCATCGTTATACGGTTTGTTAAAAAGCTTACAGTCAGCAGAATTTTTCAAATTCGTCAAATTAAAACAAATTGCGAAGAGGGGAAAGAGCTTGATTATCTACTACATCTCAATAATCAGCCCTTCCTTCCCCAGATCGATGCTGATTTTAGCAAAAATAAAAGCACACACTTCAAGAATGCAGTTGTTGTGGAAAGTTTTCGCCATCCAACTGAAAAGATATTAAATAACATGACTAAATGGCACATAGTGAAGTAAAATGGAGCTTAGACGTTCCAAACAAGGGTCATTAGAAATAAATTGGCAATTGTTTGCAGGGAACACATGATTTTTATACCTGACTTTAAGAAATCGTATCGTCCATCAACATGCGTTTTCCTTAAGAATTAAAAATTATTGAATAGCTCAAAAAACTAAGTCTAAAAGTTTGAAGATGAAGTTTCCAAGCAGCCTCACGAAAAGTTATTTTAACAATGAACTATCATCATCAATAGTGCTCATGTTTGTAAGTATCGACGTTCTAAAATCGTATAAAGTTTCTGTTATTCTTAAATGATAGGCACAAGTTGAATCGTCTCTTACAGTGTAAGTCAAAAAATCTAAATATACATATTACGTACACTTGAAATCAGCCTGAAGAAACTAAAAATATGGCCAAATTCAAATTTATGTCATTTGTAATATGAAAATTTAGCATTTGAAAATTGTGTAAATGTCAATGATATGTTGTCTGTTTGAAGTCAAATTCATTTCATGATGTTTATATAAATGCTACTTGAAACCAGTGACTTTGTTTAGATGACATTTTTACGCATAAATATTTTGGGCTAGAAATATCTAGAAGTGGGATTGTTTTAGTTATGTTAGATGTGTTGTTAAGTAACTGTGGATACACTGGTTGTACTTGCTAATGAAACTATCTGAACACATGTTTATCAAATAATGAGCATAAAATGAAGTTAAAACAAACAAATAATCATAAACTGTCATATTGTGACATATCAAGAAGATGAGACCATGAAGCTAGGTTTAAGCGATCAAGATCAACTACTAAGTAACCGACACTTCAGTGATGTCAAGGAACGAGGCGTGCTTGTAGACTGTAGCAGGCAAAGCTAGTTTTGGGTATTTAGTTGTAACAGATCGGTGAACATAAAGTGAAATGATTTTTAGTATTGAAAATTTTACAACATTTTACAATTATACTTCATCTTGTAGATAGTTCATCGTGATATCAAACCCGAAAATATTCTTATCAGTCGTAGTGGCGTCATCAAATTGTGTGATTTTGGTTTCGCACGTGCACTTGCTGCACCCGGTGAAGTTTATACAGAGTATGTGGCCACCAGATGGTACAGAGCACCAGAACTTCTTGTGGGAGATACAAAATATGGCAGGTTGGTTCTATTTCGTACATTCAAAGTTTTGCATAAAATTCGTTATCCCAGTTTGTGTTCGCAGAAAATAGCTGTGTCTTTTAATATGGTTGTAAAATAATTTTATGATTAAGGTATACCAAAAGACAATTTTAATATTTTCTGAGGTTGCTGTTTGTAAGATTCAACATATTTGCCCAACATGAATATGGCACCAAATTTTGCTTTCAATTTACAGCGTTAAAAAATGGTTTAACGGAACTGTCCTTGAAGTTCTTCAGTAAACCATTCCAACAATAAGTTAAGACGTGTGAAGAACATTTAAGAAGAGTTTAACTATCCTTTGTTGAGCCTACATTTAACTAATATTTTTAAGCAATCCAAAATAAAGGCTGACACATGTCTCCCAACCACCAACGAGCTCACCGAGTTAATGATTAATAAAAACCAAGGAAAAGCGATTGAACTGATCATTTGTTTCTAGGAGTTTTGAAATTTGGACTGTCTTCAAAATTAACTAATACATTAAGTAGATCATATGAACTAATTGCACTTTCATGTGATCAAACAGGATCACTGGCCACTTCAGTATATAATCGAGGACCAAAACGTTATCATGAAAATCACAGCGGAATCAGTTTCATTAATATATTCTTTATCATATCAAGCTTTATAATCACTGGACGTTCGAATAGATCTCGAAAACAAAAGTACTCAAAATGTCAATGAAGTTTCAAACCTGACTATGAAAAGTTAGTTACTCAGACCATACATGTATGTCCACTGAGATGGTTGAAATATTTGTTACTGACTGTTAGTTACTTCTTACATCAACACAAAGAGTAGAACGTTACAGGAGTCAGGTTTAAGAAATTCGTGGGAAGCCAAACCAGTTCATGGCAATAGTCTACAAATTATTGGTCTGATCCATGGCCAACGTCAAATATTTAGTTGGAGTCCTCGTAGTTACCTAGACCAATAACAGAAGTATGAGGTGACATGTCCTTAAATCAAAGACGGTGGGGACGGTGCTTATTTAAGGGTTCGTATAAATTCTTGATTTGGATTTCTCTCTTTCCCTTAATCCATTTTAATAATATTTCCAGGCCGTTGGACATTGCTTCATAGGTCATGTATGACTGAATGTGGCTAAAATGTTTTAAATGATCTTGGGTTCGGTCGCAGAAGAATGATAGATCTAAGGAGTGTCTGTGAATCTTTTGAAAATTAAAGGTTTTATGAACAATGCGTATATCTGATGATCTGGGAAAGCTGAACTAACGACATCATTGTTTTATATTGATTAGCGCATAAGATTAACATTGATGAGTTAGACATTCAGCATAAATTGACAATGCAGTTCAACTTTTTATTATTTATTTATGATATGTATAGTATATCTCAGAAAACCGTTGGTAAAATTATAAGGTAGCTTGAAGTAAAACATATATTGCTGAAATCTCTCTCCACTAATCAAGTGTCGTGGCTCTACAGTTGATCTTTTTTATCAATAAAAATTTGTTCACTTTTGAAAAATGCCTATGAACTCAAGATCTGCGGTTTAAATATCAAGAAGGTAAAAAAAGAAAGTCGTTAGACCAACGAAGATATTCATTACACACAAAATAAATAATGAACCTTATACTACTAGTATGAAATATTTATTTACCAAAAACTATAGAAGTTAATGGTTAACTAGACAACTTGTAACATAATCCATTATTTGTTTGATTGTTTTCTACATATTAGTTCTCTAAACACTTATCTTTGTAAATGTTTGTAGTTTCTGTCAACAATTTCTATCCGCTTGCTAGTAATAGTACTATTTCGGTGAAAAAAGTAACTCACATCAATATATACGTTAAATAAATTAGATTGAAGAACGTCAATGGGAACTTAGGTCTTCTAGATAAGGGTTTATGTATATGATTTCGCCTATAAACGTCACCATATTCTGCAATTTATTTTTCACTGATCGTTTACTCTTTAGATTTTGGGAATTGTAAATACAAAGACCATATTTGTTTTAAATTCATTAGTAAAACTGAACAAGTTATTTTTTCTGGTTTATTAAAGTAAATGCCTTGATTACATTAGTTTGTTGCAGGAAAATTGTTACATATTTACCCTAAGTTAAAATTTTTCTTCCTTAAAACTATCAGTATTTGTTGAGTTGACAGAATTTCATGTTTATACATGTACCTCTCTAGTATTGGTAGTACATTTTACTGTGCTTAGAAGGTTGAAAATGAACAGAAACGTTCATTATTAAACATAGGAAAACAGTATAATACTTGAGCTGTTAAAATATTATCAGTGGTGTTATTATTTGATTCATCTGTGCCTTTTTCACCTGACACTGAACAAGTTTTTTGAACATCATAATCTTTGTTGCATGAATAAAGCTCTTTACTACATACATTATCAATAATAAGAACGCTACTTATTATTATCATTATTATTATTGTATTTCATTAGACCAATTGACGTTTGGGCTATTGGTTGTCTTGCCTCAGAAATGTTGACAGGTGATCCTTTATTCCCTGGTGATTCTGATATTGATCAATTGCATAGAATAGTGCGTTGTCTTGGTAAGTTTAATTTATTCATTAATTAATCAGTAAATGTAATAATCTCGTTTATAAAGTACACTCTGGTTGTATTTGATATTTCCGGGACTTGTTAAAAAGTTTTTATCATTTTATGTTTGTTTGCTTACTAAAATCAAAATATAAATAATTATTATCTAGTTTCTGGATAGTTTCCACTAGCTTAGAGTTGATATACGTTTTTATGATTATTTTGTTCACCATTATCATTTTGATATTTTGAATAATATATCGATTGAGGAAAACTTTTATTACTAGTTCTCTTTAAAGCTGTTTCACTTTGATCGCTTCGATCATAGAAGTTTTACTCATGAAGGAAATCAAACCATTTGGCTTCTATTATTCCTCTAAATGTATTTAAACAACCTTTTGTCAAACAGTTTACACTGAAATCTAAAAATGGATAAACTTAACGAAAGCCACACTTCAATAAGTAGTTTTTTTAGTTTCACTATAAATAGATCTGTAGCTGTTTGAAGTGAGTCTCTGTTATCAGTTTGATATTTTTGTGTGAAAGTAATAAATTAATTGAAGATTCTCAACAAATGCTCTCTAATATGACAAAATATAGCCCTATAAATTAAACTTCAAACCCCATAGGTAAACAGGTGGTTTGTCGACTATATTTTCTACATGTTTGTCTTACCTATTATATGTATAGTAGCTGGATTAATAGCCACAGTTTATTACACAAGTTTCTTCTTAGAGAGTAGATCTTAGTGGAGAGAGTAGCGATGAAACCAGTTTGTTGGCCAACTTTTGGAATTTAGCTTAATGATCTACGAAAACATAGTAGCCCTGAAGTGGGTGGTTCGAACACTGGCTTAATCTGTGACTTCTTTCACGTTCAGTCATCATCATTGTGTACAGACCATTATCTGTTGATAAACAAAATATATGCCCCATCCTTCTACTAGATGTGTCAACCACAGTTTCTCGATATTCCTCCTTACAATATTCATTTCCCTACAAGTGAGAGTTTACTAAAGGCTAAATACGAAACCTTTGCAAAAACAGTGGTCACAAATTTATGAGTAGAAATCAATGGTGGCTAGCAAAGGAATCAATCTTGCGCGTTTCGCCCCATTTGGAACTCGTCAGCCGGGTATATTTGAATCCCAGAGCCGATGCACCTCCGGGATTCAAAGCAATCACCATTCGCTTCAGACCACACAGCGTTATCCTTTAGCTAATGGTATGTGATATGGGATGAATTTTAATTCATTTGTATTGATTATTCGAATCCTGTCATTGACTCTTAAGACTGTAATTGGTCAGCCTGGTTTTACATATGTCCATCCTGTGCTACTGCCTTGATACTGTCTGTAAGTCACAAGCATTGTAAGCAGAAATGAACGGTAGCTCGCAATTTGACCCCGGACGTTTGTCGCGGCTGTTTACATTAACTCAGTATGGTCTTTTGGCAGATGAAGTAAAGTATAATCGTCTGATGAAATACAGAGTGGGAATTCCCGACTGTGTTTGACGTTTGCACTCACCAACTTATAAATGATATCGAAAAAATACGCGTTGTTGAATAAGAGTTCACTTTTCGATCAATAGCGGTTGATCCCATACATTAAAAAAATTGTTTGCATAATCTAGCTCTTCTATCGTATCCAAATTTTATGTGGTCTTGTTAATCAATACTTATTCTTGAAATTAATTTTAATTTCAATTAGTCTGAACAACCTAAATTAGAAGAAAAGCTTTTCATAATGTAGGTTTATACGTATTTTTTAAGCCTAAACCGAAACAATTAATAAGACTAGTCAATTATAAAGGTTATTATTGAATAAAGTAGCCACAAATATAAGAATTACTTTATAGTGCATAAGAATGAAAATCGATTTATTTCTTAACTTTGTTAAATTATATAATTATTACTGATATAATACAAGTCTATCTCAAACTTAAATCTGTCAACCCTTGATTTCCTACATAAACTTTAGCAGAAGTTTAAAGCTTTTGTTTTATGTTATTCAAATAGATATCTGTTAGTTTTGCATTAAATAGAGAAAAAATAGACACGAAAATAAAAGTATAGTCAATCAAATATTAGTATCTCAAATATTAAATATGATACTTGTTTATAGGCGATCTTAGTCATAGTGATTATGATCTGTAATCAGTATAATAACTAATTGGTTGGTAAGCTCGAGACGAAAACAATATAATTTAATCTAGGTGAGCTATTTTCAAAAATGCAACATTCATTCCATTTACATTAATTAGTAGTATGAACTGTATACAGATAAGAGGTTACAAAGCTGGTTTTAGCCAATGACGTCAATTTAGTCAGTAAAGGTTTTTTGAATGTATTACTTTGATCACTTAACTTTGTCACGTATTGATTTTGTTTTAGGATATCCTTGGTTCTCTATATTATCCAGACAATATGCTTTTATTAAACGGTAGCTCTTCAATGAAACTGATTATCTAAAAAAGACTTAGACGAATTTTTAGAATATTTAGTATTAGTTTTCAACATACAAATTACTATTAAATTATTTTGTACAGAAATTTAATTCAGTGATCAGTAATTTATTGTTTGGAATTGTTAAATTACTGCATTAACATCAAGCGACATATATGGTATAATAGGTTTATCAACGGTGATATCTTAGCGTATATACAAAGTCAGAGTATGTGATGTAAGTTAGTTGCCTGAATACTGAACAACGCTGAGAATTAGGATACAGCTGTGGAACATAGTTATTGAGAAGGTAAGCCAGAAATATATGATAATTAGTTCGTTAAAATGCCCATCAGTTTTGTGTGTGCTACTTATAGTGACATAAGTAGTATATAATGTTAGTTGTGAACAGAAGGTCTGGCAGCAGAGAGACAAGAGGATCGAACAGTAAAGAATGGAAAAAGTATGCAATTTGCATGAAAATGCAAGAACAATGAAGTCTGAGTGATTTTGCAAATTAAGCATTTACTTTATGATTGTTAGATTTTATTAAGAGGTCCTGTAATTTTGTGTTAAATACATTCGATTATTCCCACTGGTGTCCTTGTTCACTAGTTTCAGTAATATTCATGTTTTATTAGATTTTTAAATCGAGGCGTATTAATGGATGGGCTCGTTAGCATATTATGCTGAACGAAATAAAAGTGGGCTATAAGAATATTTATAACCAAATCAAGACAACCTGATCATTCATTAGATCAATTAATGATGATTTAAAACATACAGAAATCGGTGGACTACTTAGATTGGTGCTCACTTGGTTACATAAAGCAATGATGAGAATATTTATCTCACACGGCTCAAAATTGGTTGCAGTAAATTTAATCCATTTGTTCTTCAAGTTACTTTAATTACCGAACTGTTTTCACTGGTTTAGTCCCTTTTCACATCTTTTAGCCTTTCTTTAGATAATTTTAGTTCAACTGTTCGGATATGTGTCATTAGAAAATGGGACTGTATAAACTTATCCACTAATTTTCAGATTTCGAAGTACCGGAAAAAATCATCTAATAGTTAAAATCTTTTAACGAGTCCAAGCCGTTTTGCTTTGGATTACATAACAGATATGCCAAAATTTCAACATGGTTTTTGTCAATGTAAAAGCGCGCATTCCCAATGAATAACTACTATCTTCAATGTGTCTAGAGATAAGCTGCTGAAATTTAACAAGTTGTTTGTTATTCTCAACTTGAGATTTAAGGATACTATAAATCTAAGGATTTTCTACCCAAACTGAGGGTAATTAACTGTTAAGGAACTGTACACATTTTTCAAACCTATATGACATTTCTAATCATTTCTACAGTTGATGTGCAGAAAATAAATGGCCGCTAGATTAGAAGTCAGTAGTATATTTTATCTAGAGCTTCAACCAGTTTGATTAAGAATTGTCCGCAAGTTCCAAAATAAAATACTATTTTCCTGCTGGTGCTAATGGTATCCAGTTTTGAAATGTCATTCGAATTTCAACAAACTAATGAGAAATAAGTTTGGTTATATTTTTCAATCAGAAATAAGGTAATTTTCGAACTATGGAAGAGTTGACAAAGCTGTTCTTCGCTCTAATCTGGTTTGTAGTATGCAACTTGTTCGTGAAATTGCCTAAGCTTAAATCATCCCACTTAAAACCGCTACACGAAAATAATGGATTTCGTATGCTCAAAAATATTTTTTCCCTATTTTCTATCCAGAAGCAAACTTCTGACGGTCACAGCAGAAAACGCAAATGGAAGATGAGACTGTGAAATTAACTTAACCACTGATTATCATAACTATATAACAAAACTATATGAAAAGTTTAAATGTGTTTCAATAAAAAAGTAATTTCGGATGAATATTTTAAGCATAAAGTGTTATGACATTATAAAGAAGTTAGACCTCTGAATTTATAAATTGGCTTATAATTTGACTTATGTGTCTATACTGATAATTGTAAACTTTTCTAAAACATAAAATTACAGTCTGGTGGAACCGTTTGTCATACTTTTCTCACCATTCTGGGTATGTGAAAAACCGAAGATTCACAAACTAGGATAAAAAACTGTCAGTAGTTTTCACTTTTTCAATGGTTGACCAGCTGAATTATGTATATTATTCAGAGTCACAATGAAGGCTCAACAATTAAACTGCCCAGCTCTAGAAACTCAACACCTAAAAAGTATTTCAGTATGCTAAACAAATAAAATTTCATTTCTTGTTCACTCTCTCTAACCTGTGTCCAAAAAATAATTTAAATTATAATTAAAATTTGTTTAACGGTAAAAATTATGTTTGTAAATATTATATATCTACCTAGTAACAAGAATATTTCTTAATTATTTCTGTTTAGAATAGGTTGCTGCAATAATCTCTTCAACAATGTTTATACATTAAAGTGGCTGTTGAATAATTTCATGTAATACTGAGTGCATCAGAGTAACTTAAATACGATGAACGAACAATTGTTCATAATTCAGTTTCACGTAAAAGTTGATTTTCATTTTCTAGGATTTTGAATTTTAAAGCG